TGCCCGGAATTGCGGGAGGTAGTATGATGTAAGTGAAATTTTTTTTTTGTTGCACTACTTATGATTGCCAGTGTAGTTTAATGGTACGTACGTATGTATGTACATATATGTGGCCAAATTTTTATATATAGCGGCCAAATTAATAGTATGAATAAACCGGCCAAATTTCTTATATTTAAGGCGGCCAAATTTCTTGGTTTAATAGTATATGTAAAGCGGCCAAATTTCACGTTTACTTATAAAATTGCTCTAACTTTCACACTCTACTATTTTTTAAAAATTAAATTTACAAAAATTCTAACAACGTGGAAGTGTCTTGAATTAATATTTTAAAATAGTATTTTTTGGTTACTATTTTTTTTGAAGAAGGATTAGCAATTTGAATGACATCAATTTTATTGGTCGGGACTAGGTTGTCTGCACTGTAGTACGATTTTTCTGAAATTAGTAATGCAACTAAAATTCTGCTCAGAAAATTTTTACTCTAGTAACATCAGCCACGAAATCACATGATGGGTTAAAATAAGGGGAAATTTGCTTAAAAGAAATATTCTGAGAGCATAAGATTTCTAACGCTAATCATGAATATTAGGCATTTTTATGAATCTAATTCAATATATTTTCTAAAATGATTTGTTTAACATAATTAATATTACATCATTTCAATCATAGTCGACTCATATGACAACTCAGGTACCTCAGGTGACCGATTAAACGGGTCATGCATTTCATCCGATGATTGACATCTGAGTATCACTTGAGGAAAAACCGATCTGGGTCCTGTGTTGAATGCCAAAATGGTCATAACTGGTCATAACATAATAGGGCATAACCAATATTCAGAATAGGTCATAACAGGTCATAGGACAGGATTTTTTTCAAAATGTCTTGACTGGGTTTAGAAATCGCGTGGAAAGGAAAATCTTTGTGAGAAAACTGAAGGCGTTCTCACGATCCAAACCGTACTTAGATTAATCCATACTAAACCCTTTGTGGAAAAAAATACCGGATATTTATTTTTTGTTTGATTGCAAAATAGTGTTCATTCTCGGAGAAATGCGGCGACACTAACTAAAATTACAACTATATAATCCAAATTTTACAGGTCTCTGCACAAGGATACAAGTGTATCACATGGTGCGGTACATATTGTTTTTGCAAATCATTCGACATTTCTTGTGAACCGTTAAATGGCTCATAAAATTCCATACCGATATATTTTCAGACTTGATTCACTCAAGTGGTGTTACCCCACTAATTGGGGTGCTATTGGTTTTAGTTTTAATTTCAGTTCGGGTACCGCTGATCTGATACTAATATGCTATGCCAGTTAACAATTCCAGTGCTGCAATAAACGGTCATTTAAACAACATCTAATTCTGGATTTCCTATTTGGGAGCGGGGTATTTTAGTGTTAGCATTTATCGTTATTGTATTGTATGAGTATGGTAAGCCTCTACAGTGTTGATTGGGTAATACGTATATAAAAGACCCTTTTTTTGGATTTTGTAAACCCTAACGCAGATTTATTCTCACGTTAACTGGTTTCATACGAAAATTACTAAAATTTGGAAATTTCGAAAAAAATGTCTGAAAATTTGAGCAGTCAAGAATTGATCAATCTTGAACATATTTATGGTGCCCACAAGTAAGTTCGCTAATTAAATAAATTTATCGATTTATCAATTTAGGTTAATTATATCTTTAATTCTCTTTATATTAGTTATCACCCGCTTCCTGTGGTCTTTTCCAGGGGTGAAGGGGCTTATGTGTGGGATCGTGAAAATAATAAGTATTTAGATTTCTTGTGTGCCTATTCGGCTGTGAATCAAGGTCATTGCCATCCAAAAATTGTAAAGGCTCTTTGTGACCAAGCTCAAAAGCTTTGCTTGAGTTCTAGAGCATTTTATAATGATGTCTTTGGAACATATGCAAAATATATTACTGAGGTAGAGCATTAAGGTTTTCGAGTTTCTTATTGGCGTCTTCGTTTAACATTGTGCATCTGTAGTATTTTGGCTATTCCATGGTGCTTCCAATGAACACTGGAGCTGAAGCAGTAGAGACTGGAATCAAACTCGCTCGTAAATGGGGATACATTAAGAAGGGCATCCCAGAGAATCAAGCAATTATATTATCATGCTTAAACAATTTCCATGGCCGTACATTAACTGTTGTGTCTATGTCGTCTGATCCGGATTGTCGTAAAGAATTCGGTCCATATATGTCACATATTGGACCTGTTTGTCCAGCAACCGGACGCACAATAAACTATAATTCCATCGATGATTTAGAAGCTGCATTAGAAGCTCATGGCCGAAATGTAGCTGGTTTTCTAGTAGAACCTATTCAAGGAGAGGCTGGGTATGTTTGATCGATTTTTTTTTTTTTCATTGTGAATAAATCTTAAAATTATTTACACTTTATATTATCATCGTTATTAAGCATACACGTCCCCGACGACGGATATTTAAAGAGATGTTATGACTTGTGCAAGAAACATAATGTTTTATTAATTGTTGATGAAATTCAAACGGGTCTCGCCCGTACTGGCAAAATGCTTTGTCAGGAACATGATGGAGTTAAGGCGGATATTACTTTGCTAGGAAAAGCGCTTTCAGGTGGCGTTTATCCGGTTTCGGCTGTTCTCGCCGACAAAGAAATTATGCTATGCATTAAGCCCGGTGAGCATGGTTCTACCTATGGTGGTAACCCATTGGGTAGTGCTGTGGCAATTGCTGCGCTTGAGGTAATAAAGGAGGAGAATTTAGTGGAAAGATCCGAAATACTAGGTGAAAAATTCCGCAACGCTATTCGCAAAATAGATTCACCACTTATTCAATGTGTGCGAGGACGTGGATTGTTAAATGCTGTTGTTATTGATGAAAAAAAGGCCAATAGAACGGCATGGCAACTATGCTTGCTACTCAAATCACGGGGTTTGCTTGCGAAGCCTACCCACGTCAATATTATTCGACTCGCACCCGCTTTAACCATCAGCGAGGAAGATTTGATGAAAGGGATTAAAATTATTGAAGGAGCATTGAAAGATATCGTTAATATGAAAGTTAATGATATTCCGGGATATTTAGAAGATTTAAAATTAAATGAGCATAGTTTGTAAATTATTTCAAATATTCACATCACAAAAGTTTGATTACGGTTAAACTCCTTCTATAGTCACCTATTTTTAAAACTAATCACTATGAACATATAGAGAAAAACCGGTATAGGCATAATCATTTTTATAAAAAAAAAAAAAAAAAAGGTTGACTGTACATTACATAAAATCAACTTTAATGGCAATGTTTTTATATTTGACACAATGATATGAATTTTGAAAATTATAATAAACCCTGAATCATAAACTAAAGTTCATTATAATCATTCCATCTTCTATTATAGTTCTCATGTGTGATTATGTTTTAAATAAAATCTAATTCAATCTAATCTATGTTAATTATTACTGTAATTATTATTATTATTAAAATTCAATATCCTAATCATAATTTATTTACAGCGTTCATTTTCTAATTAAAACACCGACCATCGTAGTTTTAACAATAATCTTTAAATTTCATTCTCTACTACATCTTTCTCTGCTTTCATCGACCAATTTCCATGCTGGATCGTATCCACAGAGTTGTGTGGGATTGCGAAGATCAGGATTAGGATGCGTATTATCGGTTCCTCCCAGAGAGGTGTACCTTAAATAGTTTACACAGATCAGAGGATGAATTCATTATTTGAAATATCTAGCATAGACAAAGTTAACAATGTTTACCCTTTATCGTATAAAATGCAATAAGGTACTTTCAATGTTCGCAAAAATTCCCATATCGTAGCGTAGCGCAAATTAAGTATTGGATGAACGCGCATAAAAGGCGGCCAATCTCGATCTGTTTGCATAAATTCTGATAATCCATCTATAAATTTATTGAATTTAGAAAGATTGATTTATAAAATATTTAATATTTGCAAAATTATTATCTCACCTCCATGAGGATCATTTCTCCGTGTACCCACCAAGATTGCCTGGACATTAGGTTGTAGTTTAGAATACTTTGCTAATGCTTGTTTAATAGGTCCTTCTATAGTGACAAGATCAATTCTATAACTACGTACACACTCTTTTACAAAATCATCGACTTCAGCGAAAGAGTTTGGGTAAGTAATATACACCGCTTGAATATTAAGTGTATTGATAGAATCAGGGAAATGCTTATACAAGGCGGCAGCGAATAAATGCAGCAGTACCATACAATCTTTCCCTCCATTGAAAGAAAGGCTCAAGTTTTCAACTCTGTGAATTTTACAAATAGCATTTTCGTACTTACATTAAGCATTTAAAACTTTAATGAAAAATAAATATAGAAAGAAAAATGCTACACATACCCGTATAACTTTATTGATTTTTCAATAACATCCAGAGCATGAGTTATATGCTTCGAAATTGGGTTGTCTGAATTCGCGAGATCATAAACTTCTCTCTGGATTTGTGCAAAATCCATCTTATTCATTAGAATATTTTCATTTCATTTAGTATTGTATGTGATGATTCAGAATTTTTGATCTCCGACATGCATACTCAGAATATTATTGGCCAAATAAAGAAACCTTTTTAATTCAATAATCGGACCTTAAAATTGTAATATATATTTATACTATTTTATTTTTCCTGTATCATATTTTAATGTAGAAATGATCGTTATAAATGAAGTTGAAGTTTATAGGTGGGCGAAATGACAATATCTAAAAACATCAGATATAGAAAAATTGCGTCTATGAATTTCCATTCTTAGGTGAATTACCAATTAATTTTTTTTGCTACGTATTAATTTTGAAACTAATTATTATACGTATACTGTATTAGTAAAATTAAATTCGGCAAAACATCTTAGAGTAAAAAAATACAAGTTCAACTTTCAAAATGACTATTAGATGATTTAAAACTTGTAATATATACAGTAGAGTTCCAATCCATTAAGCATTTATCCGGATAATTATCAGATATCCGGATCTGAATTTATTCGGATATTTGATATCCGAATATCTGTCGGATTATCCAGAATAATTCAGAATAATTCAGATACGGATAAACTATTCGAATTGGAACTGTTAGTAATAGCAATCTCAAAATTTAAACTTGTGATTGTCGTCATTAAAATTATTTCATAACATTGTGAATTGAGTTCACACTAGGGAAACCCCAGCGTATTACGTAGTATAATTAAACGCCCATTTTCGATGGTTAGCACTCCACACAACTAATTACTTAACGAATTAGTAAAATGATAATAAGCTGTGCCAATTGATTATTTCTTGTATTCGTTAGTAATTCGGTTTATAATCCGGATAGACTAATAAACCGAATTTCCTTCAACTCCTGAACAGGCATGACGTTATCTGTTAATTCCTATTAATCTGATTGGCTGTATTTCGAGAATGGCGTTTTGTAATAATTCAAATCATGTGATGTGGCCCGAATTATTAAATTTAAATTTATTAATGCCGGCCAAATCCAAAATTTTCCATTTTACAAAAAATAGGCGTCTCTGACTAAACGGACGTGATGTCAAGTAAGCGTAATTATCGCAAAAAAAGCAAATCTGAAGACAACCAAGAAAATGAAAATATAACAGAAAAAGACGATGTCTCAGACGAAGTGAGGTATAGTATGATACCTTTTAAAAAGCACAAGGTAGTGATCAAGATCTGCTAATTTCTCAAACTATAGTGAAACAATCGAAGAACTTATTGAACTCCGCAAATTTCGTCGAAGACATCAGGGCATAGATGCTGAAAAGCTAATGAAGGGAGAAACTAGAGCTAAAAAAAAGAAAAAAGATGAAGATCCATGGAAATTGACTACTGGTGGAATTGTCGACTTGGAAGCTGTGAGAGCAGCTGAAAAGTAAGCCTTATTTATTAATCAGTAAACTTCGCAACACAATTGTAAATTAATAATTTGTACATATTAAAATAGAGAAGAAGAAGAAGAAGAAGAAGACTCCGTGGAAAGAAAGATCATGCTTGATTCATTCACAAAGCAAACAAATGCTTTGGATGTTGATAAGCACATGTAAGATTTATGGTTTCTTTCAGGTCGATAATTTTCCTTTAAAACTGAAATTATTCATTATTTGTAGGATGGCATATATAGAAGAAGAGATGCGTAAACGGAGGGGACAAATTTCCGTTTCGAAAAATGATGTGGAAGACGCTGAACAAACAGATCCCTTAAACCCCCAAGATGAACTATTTCAAGCTCCTGATCATTTACGAGTAAATTAAATAATTATATATTTTTATTGATTAAAATTATACAATCAATGATTACATTAATTCAATAATTAACAATTATTTTTAGATCGAAAGCAGACCGATATCAGAAGGAAACGTTCAATTATCAACCACTATGCTTACCGCTATACCTGAAGTCGATCTTGGAATAGAGTTAGTACGCATATTATCGTTCTCACTAATTTGCATAAATCCTAATATGTTAATTTTTCTTTTACAGTGTGCGATTGAAGAATATTGAAGAAACTGAAAAGGCAAAGCGCAAACTATTAGAACAGAGACATCAGAAACCTAAAGAGGAAGATGATACTGTAAGCTAAATAATTTTGTAATCAGTTAAATTCATTAATAAACTTAACTATAAATTTGTTTTTATTTTACGGATTAGTTTGAAGGATCAAATTTCTCAGCGACTAATAGATGTAAGTTCCGTATTTATTGTTGTCTATATTAGAATATGTGAACTGACTATTTTTGCTTTAACAGTTTATCGCACTCGTTCGACGGTCAGCGATCATGAACGAAATCAACAAGAACAATTAAATCAACCTCATTATAAAGCTGGACAACGTAGAGAAATGGCCACAGATGATATAGTTGCTGAAAGGTTTAAAAAACGTTTACGCAGATGACAAAAATCTCTGTTGGGGTATTAAGAATTGATTGATTCTTATTAATTTTAACGTTTTTAATAGTAATAATTTTGATTGTTAAATATATTTAGTTAATCTATTAAAATTATAAATATACATTTAAAAAATAGATATATAAATAAAAATGATGCAAAATTTTCATATTCACGTCCTTAAGACTAGGTGCACTTAAAGAATGAGTGTATGGATAACTATAATATAAAAAATAAATAATAACGCCTCCGTACGTATGAACGCACATGCGCTTAGAACCAAGTATACTCGTGTACTTGTACGTGTGATCACAATGTAAATTTGATTTGCTGTTGTATAAATCCGGGACTTGCAAATTTGATTTGTTGTTGTATAAATCCGGGACTTGCATTCGTAGAATATTTTAAGGTGCAACTTATCTTTAAGCCCAGGCTTAGGTACAGATAATGGTTTGCATATGAAGAGGACATGCACTTCCAGAGGGTTTACTACAGGTGTTACTATATATTTTATACTAATATTAACGTTAACTAGCATCGGGTTTATCTGAATGCCTGTGAGAACCGCATCCCTCAGTTAGTTCCTTTTCTTCTTTTGTCAATCGGATCAAAGCTGCTTCCGCCAAGAGCTCTCGCCTTGATATAGCATTAGCACGAGATGGATCTCCACCCAATACATATGTACCGCCTTCCCACGAGCGCGCATCAATTTCTTCTTCCTCTGGTGGATTATAAAATTCTTCATTTGAAATCTTGTGCGATTTTGACACAGTCCAATCCATTGAAACTTTTAAAATATTAGTGAACAAGGCTATCATGCATTTTTTTTTTATTAGAATTAAAAGCTAAATTTATCATTAAACTTACCAACATCTTTATTTAATTGCCTGTTCAAACGATGGAAATTGTCATCGTGTTCGCTCCAAACATTATGTGTGAGTTCGTGTAACAAGACACGTCGGATTTCGGGGTAATGCCTAAATCCTTGCATATTATCCGTACGCAATCTTAAAGAAATTAATTGTCCGGCATTTCTGTTAAATCCTAAAATTGTTTTTTCAGCAGCTGTATAATAGTTTGATTTATCAATAATCAACGCAATTATGATCAAAAAAGCGATGAATGATATAGGTTTTAGAATCCTTACGGCTCAATTCCCTAACAAAGTTCGTTAATAAAACAAAAAAAATAATAATTGGGATTAAAAAAGACGTACGTAAATAAAATATATCGATATATGTTGTGAGTTATAGATCACATTTAGATTCGGGATAGGGTGAAAGCTTAAGTTAGGGTAGCAATTAAAATTGAACGCAAATTTAATCTGACGCACAACATACTAATATATCGATACGTATAAAAAAAAAACTTACTGCAGTATCCCCACACTCCATTTATAGTGTGACATTATTGCACGGATGCCTCGATCATCGCGTAATTTCTCAAGTAAGGCAAAGGCCTGATCAGGATTAGGAAAATGTTCAATAACTTCAATTTTATGAAATGTATAATTATTATCTAATGAATTTTCGGTTCTAATATTTTTGTATGGCTGCAAAAATTTTCAATGTTATAATTATAAACAAAAACAAAAATTAAATTCACGGAAGAAAGTTGATAATTACATTAATTGCATATTTTGATTTTGACGGCTGGTGTATAACTTTCGAATCTGCCGCATTAACTGTTTGAATTTCTTGCTGAGAACTTCCTACCAGTAATGCTTTGATACCATTCTTAAATTTACATTCTAGTAGAGTAGAATCATTATTAAGTAGACCTAGAGAGTAAAACATAAACGACGTTAAATGAGAATAATGTGATCCTTTAAACATTTTTAAACGAATTTACCTTTATAAAACAATTTCTGGAATTCTACAGGAATATTCGTCTCTTCTGCGAGATGCTCTTTTAATTCTCGAATCGTATGACTTAGCGTTAAATTTTCCACCTGAATAGTTCTTCCTTTGAATGTGACTTGAAAGCTAACTGAAATTTATTAATAGACGTTATCAGTAAAAGGTTTACTCATTTAGTTAGTTCAACTACGTACTTAAATCTTCGGCCATTAAATTTAGTGTATTTTTAAGATTAGTCTGAAATTGAAACGTACGCTTTATATAACGAATTTTTACATGATAGCGGATAAATATCTTTATTAGAAATTGATGATGACAAATAAATGAAATGCTAGAATATTCCGAATTTATAGCGTCAACCGTTTACGTAACTCACGGCACATCCTTATGCACGCATAAAATATATTTTATTTAAATGACAAAATAATTTGATAATTTATTAAAATAGCTTTACCCAATTCAGAATTCTCGAATATTAAAAACCCAATATACTACATTGTTATTATATGACTAAGACATGATCAAGTTAGATATCATCATTTATTTCCATATAATTTGAAGGCATGCCAAATTTCTGACTAAGTGATATAGCATCTTGTTTCCAAGTGCTCGCTAATCCTAATAAGGTAAACGACATAATAAGTATATAAATAAAATAAATAAAAATGAATGTGACTAAAATTATTAATACCTTCAATAATGTCTAGTAGTTTATCATCATTCATTATGCTATTAGCATCAGAGTGTGAGAGATTTTGTATTTTCTGTGGCCGTTCAGGTTGACTTTCACTAATGGAATTTGTCTCTTGTGTTTTCTATTCCAAAAAATAAAAATCAGACACACTCTAACCAACAATATAAAAAGAATCAATCCAAATCGCATTACCTTGCGCTTTTTAACTTCTTCTCGTCTATAAAGATATTCTATTGAATGTACAGGTCGAGGTAATGGTATTACATCTATTGGTGGAGTGACAAACCAAAGCACTCTTCCTTTGTCGTCACGTGCAAATTGTTCGGCTAATTACAATGTGTTAAGATCTTAGTAAATTGTCTTAGTGTTATAAATATAAATATAAAATTAACAAACCTGTTTCTGAAGGCAAATCAAAGATTTGAGGCGCGTTATTGTTAGATACGACAGATGTCGTTCGTCTTAGAAAAGGCTTAGGCGTTGCTTTAGAAGTTTCTGGAATTTGAGTCGTCATGTTATGTGAGATTGGTGATGGCATCATTGGATAATGATGTGGGTGTATATACTGAGGAGAAATCATCATATGATGTGATTGTGGATGTTGATAAGGAGTACTATATCCGTAGCCATGTAACCTTCCCATCATCATAGAAGGGTTCATTGGAGCCATTGGTAGCTGAGGAACCATTGAATGATTATATTGTGGTTGTACATTAGAAGGAAACTGTGAAGGTACAAGTGGATGTGGATTTAAATTATCGGTAAACTGGTTGGCTATTTGTTGTCTTTTCATACTTATAGGTTTAGGTGTTGCTGTTTGTGTCATTGTTGTAGATGCAGATACAGATTCAGATGCTGACACTGGTGTTGACATTTGTTCAAATTCAGATGTTTCTAACTTTTGTGATTCATCCACCTTGTCATGAGCAGCTAACCATTCAGCCGCTAATGGACTCTCATTTTTTCTCAATGTAATCGGCGTTTCGTATTTATCGAGTTCAATTTTTTTAAAGTCAAATCCTTTGGGCATTACATGATGCCAATTCTTTATTCTATTAAAAACTTTGCTGCCTTCGTTATACCTTGATTCGCATACATAAACTGACTTGTTCTCGCCTCCTTTTGGCCGACCCTTGACATAGTCTTTAACTTGCAAAACAAAGCACTTTCCTAAAACATCTTGCATTAAGTGGTCATGAAATGTGTTTGTTTTGAACACTTCATTTTGGAAAAATTTTTTGCTAACTTGGTGCTTTGTTTGTTCAGGATGATAATACCAACAAACATTGACTCCGCTTTCACCTCTAAACAAATATTAACATTAGACATAATATAAATCAATATTTGAATCAAAAACACCAGTTTATATACTTGTGATTTTTCCAAATTCTAAAAATGTGTCCAACATTTGGTTTATCTGGGTCAAGTTCGTTAACAATATGTACATAATCGCCTACAAAAATTCATACAATTTTTAATAAATATAATACAAATATGCACGTATACTAAAAAGTTCAGTGTTTACCTATATTATAGGTTTCGCCATTATACTCGATCTTGTCGAATGTTTTATACGTTTCACTCCCTTCTTTCGTTTTAACATATTTATCTCCTAAGAGATTATGTGCTAATCTCTGAATGTTCACAATTTATAAAGATCAAATACATAAATTACACGAAAAATAAATAAAATATAGACATCCATACCTGTAATGATTTGGCATCATTATATATTTGTGAGCCTTCCACATTATATTTCTTGGCATTCTCAAACATTAAATCGAGATCTGATTCAAACGATTCATTATCCGGATATTCTTTACGGTCTATTTTTTTCTAAATGAGATTATGAAGTTTTGCGAAATTTATCAACCAGATTAGAAACGGGTATTAAATGTTTCATCATTATCTCTCTGCAATATTATATGAATAAGTCTAAAAAAAATAATAAAATAAAATAAAAACCTTGATAATATCCAGCGAAATTGGTATTTTTATCTAATTTAGTTGACAGAATAAATCATTTCAATTAATTGAATTTGAACCAAAATATCGCATCATACATTTTCTCATAAACTCAGTACTTTTCATCTCAACTACTAAACCTCCTCATAATAATCTGGATAGTGCCTCCTATCCGGCAATGTACTGAAAAGTTTTGCCATCAGCCGATTTCTAATATAAAAAATATAAAAAATTAGTACAGAGAAACTTTCGTTTATTACATCTGTTATAACAGCACGAATTTATAACCTGCTATCTCTATGGTTCTTTATCACATTCCAAATTTCCAAATAGAATTCCGTTCCAGTTCGCTGTATTTTAAAACCAAGTTATTTATAAAAATTTTGATTATAAAGAAA